TTCCATTGGATGGATGGTATGGGAACCCACGCCGCTCCGCACGCTCCGCACGTGCCGGACGCTCCGCACGCCGTCAGCCCTCCCCGCACATCCGGTCGACCGCCGACCGCCTCATCGACTTGCTCCTGTCGACGATGGGCGAGAGGTGACAGGTCAACGAACACCAAAGGAGCTGAGAAGGAGCGTGTCCTTCTTCGATTCAATTCCATGTACTCTGGAGATGGGATGGCTACCTAGCAATGGTGGCTTACCTAATAGCGACTCTGGAATTCTCTGTTCGCTTTTCAGGGATGTGGCTCCTGAAGGAAAGGAACCCTTTGTCACAAGACCCCGGGCGTTTCAGCATGCAAAGTCCTGAGAACTCTTGTAAGGGCGGCGCTTCTTCAATTGACTGAAACACGTGTTGAATGGGGTCGGACAGTGGAAAAAAGACGGGGTTGTTGTGAGTTGGATTTAGGCCAAATCCCGACATGAGGTCTCCAAACATCATGTCTCTTCACTTCGGGACAGAAGCACTGCAAGACCTCAGCCGTCCCACCATAAAACCAACAAGCCTATCTCTGCAAGTTCCCCCTGAACCAGGGCGCGAACTGTGTAGAGGGCAAATTGAAGACACGCCCTCTTAGGTTTTCCCAATAGGGACACGCCAGATCGATCGCAACAAATTGTCCCTTTGGGTCCTTGGGCAGCAACTGCAAGACCACATCTAGCGCGGCGGTATCCAATTGGAAGACTCCTCGCCAATCGCTGTCGAGTCCTCGGCGCTTGCCAGCTCCCACCAGACATGCATTGTGTTTCGCTTCTTCACATGGGAGGTGAACCATTCATCCAAATTAAATTAAGCTACTAGTAACAAGTGCCACGCTAGTAGTAACAAGTGCCTTACTACTAGTAACAAGAAGCTATTCTATGGAGAGGAACCACCAACATCTTCGGGTCCAGAGTTGGGTCCCTTTCGGACCGAACAGTGGTCCAGGGCGTCCCATGGGTCAGGAACGGGACGGACGGAACGGCCCAGAAGGGCAGAGAAGAAGGAGGATCCAACAGTTCTTCGGACCCAACAGGTCTCCGAAATGGAGGGGTGTCAGGCCCCAACAGGTGTCCATTGGTGACCTGTGAAGTCGGTGCTGGTATCGGTTTATCATCGAAACATGTGCATTGCATGTGTTTGTTGAATCTAAACAAAAAGGCACTTGGCCAACTTAGATATCTAGACCTGCCTGAGCTCTTGGACTTCCAAAAGCTGCTTCGTCCAAAATTACGACGACGAACGGCCCGCCACGCGGCTCGGTCGAATCGTCGCCCAAGGCGCCGAAGATCCGCGCTCTGCACGCCAGCAGCGCGCTCGAAGCCCGCTGCCGCAACCAGGCGCACAGGGTGGCGCCCGGGGAGGTGAGCAAGATGCCGTGCGGATCCAAACGCGTGGACACCTCGGCCGAGGTGTGGATGTGAGGTGGTGTGAGATCGGCCTCTTCAGGGTCCTAGAGACCACCGGTCCTGAGGGCACTCGGAAGCTGAAAAAGCGCAGGTGAGTTGCCAGGGTTTATATATATATATATCTAATATATAGACATATAGAACTGATCATGCTCCTTTGAAAGGAAACGGCTACGAAACCACGAAACCACGAGAGTCAATGGAAAGAGCCAGGTGGGATGTCTGGAAACACCACGGCAACCCCAGTCCTCGAGCAGAGCATTTCCATGGCGAAAGACCAAAATGTGATTCCCCTCGTTTGGGTGAAGAAGTTGGAGCACATGTCCCTTAAACCAAGTGGGTGTGCGTCCTCTGATATCTGTTGGAGGTTTTGTCTGCTAATGGTTGACCCGGACAGCCATCGAACATCCCCCCCAAAAAAGGAATGTTCTATATCCACAACTTGCCATGTGCTGCTTCAGCTTTCTTCACCTACATCTTAAGTAGATCTTCTTCAGTTCTCCAGAAACTCTAATCAGATTCATCATGATCTGCTGCTTCAGAGCTTCACCTCCCTCCAAACGTTCGATCCTAGGATTTCCGAAAAACCTCCGCCCCCCCCTGGTCTTTGCTTCGTCGAAGACACCCAGCAGCGGCAGAGTTGAGAGGCTTTCGGGCCCAAGGTGCTCAGGTGCTTCTCATAAGCTTGCCGCAAACTCAAACGCTCCTACCACGCTGGCTTCTCGAAACCACGAGTGCCACGAAAAGCTGGGTATGTCGTCTGGGTGGACCGGAACTTAGGGACAAGAAGTCATGTGGCGTCTGCACTTCTTGGTGTCCACTTCTATGTCCACTTCTAATCAGATCTAATCAGTTTGTGGTTTTTCGTTCGAAACCCAGGAATCCACTCGAGGTCCCAACCATCTGCAGCACAAGTACAACTGGAAGAAGTGTTTGAACCCCTCAGCTGGTCCGACGGGGCTTCTCCACACAACCCACAGCGTGGAGTCCGTCTGGAGGCTCTAGGATGTGAGGCCCGTGCGGCTTGCAATCTGCTACAAACCTCTGCAACCATGCCATACAGCATGTCAAGCTGTCAAGCACAAGCGGATTGCGTGTGGTGTGCATGTTCACGTTCTTCTTTCGTGCGCCGGTGGTAAATCCACTTGAGGCCCGCGGGGGTTGAGAAAACATCCCAAATTGACCATGTTCAGCTTTTGACTCACATACTTCCCCAGGAAACAACAGGTCATTCGGCTCATGCTCCGGGATCGAGTTGGAGGTCGCCTTGGAGGTGTGCCATGGACGTTGACAGCCACTAATATAACTCTTGACCCCGGCAGGTGGCTCTCCTCCTCGGTAATCTTGCCGTCGATGTCCACGATTAGAGCTTCCTGCAGAAGACCCTGGGGCTCGGTACCTACCCTCAACACTGGGAGCTTTCAACAAAACATGGCAAGTGCTGAAAAATGAGTAAAGTCTGATTCGAAAACTCGTGGGTTGGGTGGTTCCACCAACCAGCAGGATCACAATGTTCTTCTCTGATATGATGCCTTGGACTTCCTTTGGCCCTTTGAAACACGGCTTTTGCTTATCTGCTTGAAGCCCAAAGAACCATAAGACCCGCGATCCCACTCCGCAAACGCTCCATCTTTGTGGTGCCAGCTTTGGCCAAGAAGCCCGATGCCAGTCAAAGGACTGCAGCAACAGGAGTGCGCGACAAAAGCCCACATGCGCACCTGAGCGCTGCGTTTGTACGCGGCCTGACCCGATGATCCACCAGACATGGGGACATGTGTCGTCCACAGTGGCGCTTTTGGAACTCTTCGCGAGAAGAATTGAGAAGAATTGTGTTGGTGTTTCTCTTTTAATCTCGATACAATCGATGCAGGAGTCTCAAATCCGCACGTCACCACGGTGTCAATGCAATTGATTGAAGGATCCACGTGTCAACAGCGAGAACACATCGCCCCAACATCAGCGCAACGCCGGTTGCTTTTTTGAACACGAAAAATGGCAGGTTCGGTCGGGCCCGTCCAGATTCTTAGGGTGGATTTGATATGGTCTCCGACCCAGATTTCTTGGGTGACTACACTAGGCAGCCAGCCAAATCATTAACAAGATCACGTAGTGATCTGAGTGACATTGAGTGAATATATGTGAATATGGGTGACAACCTGTTCATTTCTTGGACACTTGCCCTCCTCTGTTGGGCCCAAGGATGCAAAGATCTTGCACTCGGTCTCTTTTTTGGGGTGTTGGGTTAACAGCCCCAATCTGCGTCTGCCACTTTGACCACTCTGCGCAAGCGGTTTCTCACCTCAGGCACCAGCTACTGAGCTACTGAGCCTGGATCGATAAAGGTTGCTTTGCAAAACCCTCACCGAACCTGAAGCCATGGCCCTGGCCACAGTTCGCGAGGCCTCCGAACCGACGCGGAAGACGTCGGGCAGTGAAGCCCGGGTGCCCGATGAGAACGACCACGGTGGACGACCTGCTTTCTCATGGACGGTTGTCACGTGGACAAGCTCTGTCAGGTCATGAGGATTGAGTGATTCATTCAATTCTGGGATGAACTAAGTGTGGCTGGACTGGCCCCGTTGTTTCATTCAGAGAGGAGTGATCGATCGAGATGGTAAGCATCCTTCAATATGTTGATGTTCAACTTACTGTATTCTATAGAAACATGATGAAACATGGAAGCCCACGGTGTCGGGTTGAAGATTGGAGGCTGTTGCCTGATTGGTGTCTGGTGCCGATCTCGCCGATCTCGAAGAGGCAGGTCTTCTTCACTGCACTGCTAGAACGTTCACAACACAGTCGGGCGCGTGGAGGCAGTGGCCGATTTGGACCATCGTTGAACCCACTCGGCTGCGCGTGGATGAACTCACGTGCTCGGACGCCAGGACTGGCCGCTCTGTTGTTCAGAAAACATGTGAGTTGAGTGCATCTCCCCAAAACGCTGAGTAGGTGTAGTGGTTCCGAAAATAGCATGTGTGCGGTTTGGAGGCCATCCAATGAGCCTATCCGGTCACCCTTGTGGCACTTGAAGAAAACCATCTCTCGTGTACGTGTCGAATCAGTTCGGGTCCTTCACCAAACGAGTGGCTTCAACGGGTCAGTGGGGTATCTCACGCGGTCGTCTTCGATCACCACCGCGGTGGGAACGTGAGGAGGTACCTCACATGCCTCTGTGGGTGGCCTGAGGAATCGAGGCCTCCCCAAAAAACAGAGAACTGACGCTAAACACTTGAAACCTCAGCGTGACGGCCCACTTGAAATGAACTGCTGCAGTCCTGTGTCCTGTGTTGGTTGAATATTTGGATTCCTAATCTGCCGGGGAGGAGCTTCTTTGATTTGCGGCTGTGTTCGATGTGCTTGCAAGTCGCTCAGTAAGAGGGGGTGAGGTGCCATGGAGGTGCTTTGAGGCGCCCAGAAAATCCACTCCCTGGAATGGGTCTCAATACCACCCCCGCCATGGAACTCCTGCTTGAACCCTCAAGAAGAGTCTCGAAATGAGGACAGAACACAGGGTACAGTCAGCCGCCGCATGAAAAAGCATGAAAAAGCGTCATTTTAGACAGCTATGACGGAAGTACCTTCTTAAAAGTTCGTTTCGCGCAAAGACAAGTCTTCCTCCGGACAGAATTCTGAGAGCCAACCGACTCATGTAAATAGGCTGCTTGGAGATACTCTGGAGACAAATCCGACCAATGACCTGAGCAAACGGAGGTCCATTAGTCGAGTTCGGACTCTGAACTGGTCCCAGGTTTTGAATGGGATGCTTCCCAATGTGTTAACCACGGCTGCCTCGATGCCTTTCGAATCACATTTTGCAAAGCTACTTGAAATCCAGAGTCACTTTCGCAGGGGTTACAATCAAAAACGCATCCCAGATCCATCCAGGACTATGACTCCATGCTGTCTAAGTAATTCAGGGTGTCACAAGCATTTACGAGTCAATGCAACTGAGTTGAGAACAGTTCCAAACTTGTCCAGGGGCTTGACCAAGGATTCAGCAAGAACACCCAAAACAACAGCATGTGCCCTCATGTTTCATCGAACGATTTTCGCCAACTGAGCTACACGCCTTGGAATCATCATGGAAGTGGAACATGGCCCCTTGCAAGACCATTTTCCTCTACACGCAGACTGTACGGCTTTCATGCCGTCCTACCCAACCCCTTGACCGAAGTCCGGTGTCGAGTAGGCTATGACAATGTCCTATTGCAACGAAGTGAGAAAAGACAGAGATTCCAAGAGGTAAACCTCGACTGGAAACTCGAGATGTCAGATCTCAGTACGTCAATTTGAGGTTCGGAAAGGGGAGACAACAAAAACATGCATCCAACAAAAAGAGTGACCAAGCACAGGGCGCTGACACTTAGCGAGGCTAGCAGAATCGGCTTTTCACCTCTATAGCCAACGAATGGCTAAGGGCTAAGGTGGTCCATTCTTATTTCAGGGAGAGTAATGTCTTGACGTTTAGTGCATGTCTAACTGCCCATTCGACATGAAGTCTCACTCCAAGTGGCCTTCTTCATTCAGTTCCCCTACAAATCGCTGGGCGTAGTTCGCGGCCAGGGACCAGACTCCGCGGTCACGGCTGATACACTCACAGAAGGAGGTCACCTGCCACGCGCGGTAGGCGAACCCGCCGAACTGTGCTCCGCGCAGAACGTCGCCGAGCGACGGACGCTCCGGTCGCCGTTCGTCGGGCCCGTCGGGCGCGAAGGCGACGGAGAAGCGACGAGAAGGCGAGATGCGACGCCTCCAGGGTGATCAGGCGGGAGATGTCTTTGGACACCAAGTGCCCTGTGTGAATCCAAGGTGTCCAGAGACACATCTCTGCTGCCCAGGTGCCACACAACATCCTCAGTGTGAAGACACAACAAAAAGGATTTGTAAAGAAAGCCAAAAAGGTATCCAAAGGTTTTGATCAACCTGAAAGGCGTCCAAAAGTGTGAATGCCAATACCCTCACATTCTCGTGCCAATACCCTACACATGTAATTGCTCAATCACCGTAATTGCTGAAGAAGGCACGGACACAACAAAATGAGCGAACACAACGAAGCGTGTTCGAATCCATCACAAATCATTCATCCTCGTCCTGGACCTCCACCGTTCGTGCCAGACCCGTTCTCCGGGGTGGTCGATTCCGAACGCCTAGGCCTTCCGTCGTGGCGAACTCGGTGAGCGAGTGGCAAGGGTGCGAGATCTTGCTGTTCATACGAACAATTGCCCTCTGCCACATAAAAGCAACCTCACAGTCGGTCGACGTGGCCGGGAAGGATGTGTGAAGAAAACGAGTGAACGAGGTGTTCTCTCCGGCGTAACAGCAGGCTATTAGGTTGGAAACCACCGCTATTAGGTTGGAGGCCATCGCCATTAGTTGTTTTAGTCACTCGGCAGGCATAGGCCCTCGTACAATGAGAGTGCCGAGACATGGGGCGAAAATGAAAACTCCCATGCTGAATGTCATTTGTGCAAAGATCAGCTCCCAATACCCCTAACCCTGGCCAAGAACATCCAAGAACATGCATTCGGAGCAATCCCGTCCAATCTTCTCTTGTCATCAATCAATTTCACAGGCAGCTAGTCCAACCAAAACAACAAAAGAGTGAACTCAAGAACTGCTACCAATGCCATAGCGGCTACCCTGGCCGAACCTCAAACCAGCCGAGCACTCACCAGACTGTATCTCTCTATAATCGAAGACTTGGGGGCCTCAGGGTCAAAGCCCCAAAAGAGTGGTCCCCTTACATAGATAGTGGCACTGTTTCCGATACATGTTTAGTGGAGATCTACTTTTTCTATCTATATATTTGGCGGTCTATATAAATCCACCTCCCCCCTCTATAGATCCAATCGTGAGATGAGCAGCTGTTGGCCATACTTTGTGCGGAGAAGACCACGTCATCCAGTGCCAGGACCGAATGTTGCAGCTGCGTCGCCATCTTGCACAGCACGCGGCGCGTGTTGTAGTCCTCACTCTCCAACAGCAAGCCTGAGGATTGTTCGAGGGGTCCAGGGGCGAAGGGCGGACCAAGCTACAGAGTCAAACGGACCGAGGAGAACAAGTTCTCTTTCTTGCTGAACCTCTCTCTTCCTCTCTCCACTAAGTCTTTTTGGACAAGGAGTATGGTCTTAGAGGAGTCCCGTCGAAGCAGCCATCGAAGCCAATTTCGAGCACATCTCGAAATCCAAAGCGTCAACCCAAACCACCAATTGGCTGTGTTTTCTGAGTGACGGAGTGACTCTCACCAAAAGAACCAGAGGTTCACAGCTCCACTTACCCCCCGTCAGCAAGAAGCTACGTTCGGGGCTCTTGGCCGCAGCCTACGAACGGAGCGTTCGGACGCTACTTACTCGGGGCTCCTGGCATCGCGACGAACGGAGCATGCTCACTACAAACGTAACAAGAAGCAGGTCAAACTGATGTTATCAAAAAAACAGTCACTTGAAAGGCTTCCTCCGTCACTTGATCTCGTTTCGTCTCACCACAGGACACGTGATGTTCCGGTGATTTCACCGGAGTCTTCGTGTCCGACCAAACGAGTTTGGACGAACGGCGCCGATTCGATCTGTCTCGGTGTTTGTTCATGAAAAGCACCCAAATCGATTTCCCCTGCAACAAGGATGGAAAGAACATGAAAGAACCCGTTTTTCAGGGGAATCCAATTCTATGTTCGGACGGCTCCAACATTCACAGAGGCTCCAAGGAAGGCGTGGTTCTGCAAGCATTCCAGGTGCCGTTGCAGTTGCAGCTCCTCTCTGAGGGACTTTGAAAGCATCCCCAAGATGGGCAGCTCACCATCCTTCGACGTGGCTTTCTTCTTCAAGCCTCGTGAGGTGGCCGCGTCACCGCCCAGCAACTGATTCTGTGCTTGGTGAGGAGGATGAAGATTTGGAGAATGAGGAGTCACAGCAGCAATCATTGCAGTCGACAAGTCACCCTGTCTTCCTTCTATCAAAAAGATCCATCACATTCGGACCCCACAAGCAGGCGGGGCCAACCCGTACATGTTCCAGGTGTTCATCAACTGCTTCCAGTCCACAATGTCAGCTCACCAAGTGGAATGCATGTGTTCGGCCGGTCCATTCCATCCAACTCCCGAAGGAACAACGACGACCGGAGTCCCGAACCCATGAAGAAGGTTCGGTTCTGCACATCAAAACGGAGTCCCATTTGTTACGAGTAGCGATGCCCGTTGTTCCTAGTAGCGTCCGAACGCTCCGTTCGTAGTAGTGCGGCCAGGAGCCCCGAACGTAAAGTAGCGAACCTTGTTCCTCGTAAAGTCCCCACGTGTTTGCTCTTTGGGTTCCTAACGCCCTGGAAAAAACCATCAATGCTCCGAACAGTGGTCGACATGGAAATCCCCGAAGGATCCCTTCGTAGACGTCACCCCATGTCTTTCCGAGCAGCTGAAGCTATGCTGCAAAAAGCTGGTAATGCGGAGGGAGAGGTCTGGATCAATGCTGTTGGAGGCCAAGTATCGACGCAGTAAGCTGAATTGTTCCTGTGCCCGAGCATCGACTGTGGCAAACGGGAAGAGTAGGCGTTTTCTTGCGCAATCAAAGGAGCAAGGACGCTACGTTCGTAGCTCCTGGCCATACTACGAACGGAACAAGCTTCGCTACGACCGAAACAAAGGGCATCGCTACGAACGGAGCGATCGGACGCTGCGAGATTGTCTGGATTTTGTTCGACTGAAGAATGGGACGAGTGGCTTTCCGGCAATAAAAAAGGCGGTGTCTGGAGCTCCAAGCATTCTCAGACGTCTGGAGCTGGCAATCAAAAGGAAAGAGGTCTGTGGACCTGCAAAAATCACAATCTGGCTAAGGTTGTGGATCTCGTGCTCTGCCCAGTATATCCGGAAACAAGTCTGTGAAGCTGCTGGATACACTATCAGATTGAAATCCAGGAAAATCCACTGGGCTGGGTTCTGCGCATCCGGAACCTGCGCATACACCGCACCGGAAAACGGGTCAATCAAAGCACTTGCTAGCTGTCGGGGTTCACTCCCTGTAGCTCCCAGTTCGGCTCCCAGTTCGGCTTTTGGGGGAACACGACCCGCGGCTCGTTCGGACTGAACTCCGAGATGACTAAGGGTGATCGACCCAGGCTCGGTCTCTTCGTCCTTCAACTTTCGAAGGCTTTCCAACAGGCTGGTCATCGAACTCACCATCGTGGAGAAGTTGATCAATGCCAGGAAACTGATGACAATCGAGAAGATCCTCGGTGACTTCAGAAAGCTTCAAAACACATGAGGCATCCAACCACCAGGGCATCGAGAGGGCCAGAACCAGATTCGAGATGTGTTTGTCTTTGTGGGAGTTTGCTTTCATGAACTACCTAGGTTGCCTCAAAGTGACCGCTTGGTCAAAACCGGCCTACTCAGGGCCGGTGTCGAGTGCTGGGACTAGAATTAGAGTGGTCCCCAACATGTTAAAAGGGGGTTTATAGTATTTTACATTTCTCTCTTTTTGAGCGATTTTGAGGGTCTATATAGATGAGCAAACTTAACACGGTTGAGGGCTGTGTGTGTGGACGGCTTCCTTAGAGCCCATCCTGGGGCCAAGTCCTGCGTTTGATTAGGCGTCCCGAGTGCATGTCCCATGTCCATCCATGTTCCCAGACACCCCAAGACTTGCCGCCCCGAACTGGGTCCGCCTTCGCTCTTGGTTTCAACCCCCGACCAATTAACCCTGCATGGTGAAGGTTTCGGCAAAGAATAGCGCACTCCAAGTGGCCGCTCGTGAAGGTTCACCGCTTCGATCTCAGTCTGGCCCACCCCAAGCTGTGAGAAGGCCCAATACAAACCTCAGCTCAGGCCGCTCCGACCACGCGAGCAGTGGCAGACGAAGCAAAAAGTCAAAACGGAATGGCTGAGGAAAGACAAAGGAAGAAGCCCAAAAGCAAAGACTGTGCCGTCCCAGGTTGAGACATTTCAGTCTTGGAATCAAACATGAAGAGTTCATGTTCGTTTAGGAATCTGTTGTAGCATCCCAAAAGGGTGACGAGGGTTCCTGATAGATGAGTGTATTATGCACTGAGATCATCTCTCTCTGATCATGGCGACAAGTTCGCTTGCACCCGCCACTCGCGACCGTGAGCGACCGTTGGGTCCCTCCCATGCGGTTGCAAGAGAATCAGGCATATCTTGGTAGAAAACACCAATGCCATGCCACCTAGATCACCTACATGGCCTCCTACATGTCCCCTATAGGTCCCTCATGCCACCCGTTACACCTCCAGGACTGGATTCGGGAGGGTCTAAAGACCTAAGGGTCCAAACTGATTTGCCACTCGTTTTCAGGCTGCGCATGGCTGCAGCTCCTTAACTGATGTGTGTCATGTGTGTGTGTGTCCACACCTGTCCCTAAGGTTTCGAGTCACAAAGGACGCTACTAAGGGCCCCCGGTTTCGCTACTAAAGGCTCCTAGTATCGCTATTAGCGCACAGCTTGTCAATTTTTTAACATGTACAAAGCGCGCAAAAAAGAAGCAGGGGGATGAGGATCCCTTGGTGTGCCTCATCTAACAAAGACCGCACCAAGTGGATGTGATATCAGTGCCCGGCCAGCACTGACGCACCTGCCTTTCAATTTTTAAACCTTTTCTGCAGTCACGCATTGAGCTTTTGGCCTTGCTTCCTCTTCAAGACCTCCAGGCCCCAGAGGTTTATAGTCGCTTCCTCTACTCGCTCGACCGTTGAGTTCTGCAGACTTGCGAAACAGCTTTTGTTAAAACGTCTTCAAGTATTGCGGACTCTCCACCATACCGTTTCTCACCTTCCTTCCCATCGTGGCAATTGAGTTAACTGAAAACCAATGTCAGAGTGTGAGCCGCTCAGTCTTCCCACTTGGGTGCTGGGTGTGACCCTCCGCAAGGAGGCGCTGTTATCATTCCGGAATGCATCGGTTTTTCATTCTTATAACTGTTTCCTTGGTGTTCACTTCCATAACTGAATTAACGGAATTTCGAGCCGCCGGGCTATAAACGATGGAGTTCCTTTTTGACAGACTGAATCCACTTGCACCGTCATGTGTCGTTATGAGTCACTACATGTTCCGACTTCGAACCTGCAGTAATGTCT